GGGGGAGGTTTCGAAGGGGGACCAGGGGGAAGTGGCAAGAGTGCGCAGGACGCCGAGACCCCGAAGGGCGGGGAAGGAGCGGGCGAAGAGGCAGCGAAGATGGCAAGGGGGGCGTGTAGCCGGAAGGCAAGCGCACCACTGTCCGGGACATCAGTCGGGCGGTTGATGTTGCGGATTTGCTCCATGGACTGGAGGTCCGGTGACAGGCCGCCATGCATGGCCAAGATCTTCTCCTCAATGACGGCCGCAATCGGCAAGCAGTTGAAGCAGTCGGTGAAAATCTTCCAGAGCTTGGTGCTGTACCGACGCTTGCCTGTGCGCGTGCGCATCCACACGCACATCGATGGATGGATGGATAAATATTTGCGTGTGTGTGTGGGGGGGGGGGAGGGGAGAGAGAGAGAGAGAGAGAGAGTGAGCAAGCAGTGCGATCGAATGTACATGAGTTGGATAAAGGGACAAGTGCCACACGAGGAGGGAGCAATGTGCCACGCACATTCGTCGTAGAAACCGTAGATACGGTTGATGCTGGCACACTCGTGGTTCCCGCGCAAGAGGAAGAAGTTCTCCGGGTAGCGGATCTTGAAGGCCAACAGCAGGCAGATGGTCTCCATGGACTGGCGACCACGGTCGACGTAGTCCCCGAGGAAGAGGTAGTTGGCCTCGGGCGGGAAGCCGCCGTACTCGAACAGCCGCAGCAGATCGTAGTACTGGCCGTGAATGTCGCCTGGCGGGGTGGGGGGTGAAAGGAGCGTACGCGCATGCGTGCACCAGTATCGGACACATGGCGTGCGGGATGTTCGGAGGTCAAAATCAGGTTGCGTGCGGCGGAGGGGGGCGCCGGGTGGGGCAGAGAATGACGAAACGGCGCACCGCAGACCTTGACCGGAGCCTCAAGCTCCAGGAGCGAAGGCTGGCTGATGAAGATGTCACGGGCCTTGGCACACAGCCAGCGGATTTCGCCCTCGGTCATGGGGACATCCATGCCCGGGCGGTTGCCCCGGACTGATGAAAGGAAGCGTGTGTGAGCGCGTGCAAGGCGGCAAGGCAATGGGCTGCGTGTGCGTGTGCACAGCTTGGCAGCGGTGGCAAAGAGGAGAGAGGAGAACGCACCCGAAAGGAGCTTGAAAATGATGCTGTCAATGTCGTATTCGGACATTGCGCGGCGCGGGTCTGACGGACGGGCGGAAGGACGGGGAATTAGTGCTGTGCCGGAGCCACTGCAGGCGGGGGGAGGGGGAGGGGGAGGGGGCGAGGAAACGACAGCGAGCAGGGCGCAGGCAAACAAGAGGCGGGAGGTACATCTCGGGGGAGAAGCAAAAAGGAAGGGCGAAGAGGGGGAGGGGGAGGAACTTCTCGAGATCTGCCCATGCGCGGGTAGGCAGGCGGAGAGGTACCTGGCCGAAAGAGATCGCCTCGCCGGGGGGGGGGGCCGGTCGCCCTCTTCCTGTTCCGGGTGGCCTGGGGCCGGCATGTCGGATATCTTCGCTCGCCGCCCGCCCCCGGAGGATATTGGCAGGGCCCGCGGGTGGTCCCGGGCCCGGTGTCTGCCCCCGGAAGGAGGCCGGCCCGTGCCTCCCAGGCGAGTGCCCCTTGCCCCGGACTCCACAGGGGCGGGCGCATTCCCCCCCCCCCCTCCCTCCCTCCCCCTTCATCTCCCGAAGTTTATGTGTGTGTGTGTGTGTGTGTGTGTGTGTGATTTGGTGATGAGGGATGCGCGGGCACCAACCGGTCCTGAGCCCGACGGCGAGTTGCTGGGATGCTGGGGGGGGGGGGAGGGTCAGTCCACCCCGTCCCGTCGTGCTCCGGCTGGTGCGCGTGAGTGCGCAGGCGCTTCTGAGGGGCACTACACGCGCTCACGAAGGTACGGGGGCGATGGACGCGGGGGGGGGGAGGGTCAGCGGCGACCGCATACATCGGCGCACGTTCGGTCCTCGCAATAGCGCGCCATCTCATAGAGCTTCGAAAGGCCACTCTTCTCGGAGAAGACCATGGTTGAGGGTTTGAACACATCGAGCGGATGATACATCAGGATGCACTGGCCACCACGCCCATCGCGCCCCGCGCGGCCGCTTTCCTGGTAATAGTGCTCCAGGGACTTGGACATGGAGTGGTGGATGACAAATCGGACATCCGGCTTGTCGATCCCAAGGCCGAAGGCCACCGTGGCAACGATCACTTGGATGCGGTTTGCCAGCCACTGGGTGTGCACGCGCGACCGCTCGGCCGCCTCGATGTGCGCGTGATAGGGGGCGCAAACGACACCTACCAGGCCCGGCATGGGGGAGGGGGAGGGCCCGAAATCGCGGACCAGCCAGGAGTCACAGTCAGTGCTGGGCGGCTTGTTTGCCAAGCGCCGAGGGCCAACACCGCGCCGGTGGCCATATACGTACCGCGTTCCGCCAAGGCAGCGGCCACAAGTTCCACATCGCGCCGGGAAAGGCAGTACACGATGCCGGACTTCCCCTGCAGGCCCGGGGACAGGGCGATCTCGGCGATCGTGGCCATGCCACTGGCAAAGTCCCCCTTCGGGGCTTTGTCGATGACCCGATACACGAGTCCACGCCGGCGGAAGGATGTATGGAAACGCTGGACCGATTGCGGGTCCAGGCGCAGAAGCTCCTCCACATCGGTTCGAACCCGAGAGTCGGCCGTCGCAGTCAGCGCCAGGACCGGCACATCCGGCAGCTGCGTTCGGAGCAAGGCCAGCGCCGTCAGGTAGTCCGGGCGGAAGTTGTGTCCCCATTGCGAGCAGCAGTGGGCCTCATCCACGGCAATTCCCCCGATCAGCCCGCCACGGTGGGCCTTCTCCAAGGCAGAGAGGAATTGCTTGCGCTTGGTAATCCCCTCGGGGGTGGCATACACCAGGCGGAAGTGCCCGGCCGCCATGCTGGCGTACATGGCCCGTGCGTCGGCGCCTTTGACATCGGCCGACAGGACGGCCGCCGGAATGCGGCGGCTATTCAGACTGGCTGCCTGATCTTCCATCAGCGAGATGAGCGGCGACACGACCAGCGTGAAGCCAGGGCGAAGCTATTCGTCAAGCCAGCGGGCCAGAGCCATGCGCGTAGGATGGCGGGGGTGGGTGGCGGGCGAGGCCGGGCGGAGAGTGAGCAAACGCGAGGGCAAACAAAAGAGCAACAAGGGGAAGCGCACGCACCAGGGAGGGGAGTTGAAAGCAAAGGCTCTTGCCGGCGGCCGTGGGCAGAACAGCAAATGTGTGGCATCCGTACATCGTGGCATTGATGATCTCCTTCTGCTTGGGGCGGAAGGCCGAGAAGCCAAACACCTCACGCAGCACCTACGCCCTCGGGTCAGTACCGTCACCCTGGACAGGCGAAGCCGGGAGCCAGGTGCCAGGGCTGGGGGTGGGGGGTGGAGAAGCGCACCTTCAGGGCCTCCTCACTCCAGGGAAAGGTATCTGCGGACCAGTCCATATCCTGGTGTGGAACGACCGTATTCCGGCGCAGAGTCTCATCCTCCAAGATGAGTTCGCCAAGCCTGTTTTTTTTGTGCGCGCATCCGGGTGAGCCAAGGCCATTCTCGGGGGCGCCGAGGAAAGGTGGCAGGAAGGAGGCATGCCAGCACGCACTGTGTTACTGCATCAAGGCGACGCTGGAGGGAGGCCAGTTGCCGCTCCAACGAAGCGAGGAGCTTCTCCTGCGTTTCACGATCGGTACTCGGGTCGAGCTGGCGTGCCGGCACATGCGCACATGGAGTTAGCGGAGTCAGAGCCGGAGTACCGGCGGACTGGGCGATGACGAACCGATGAGAAGGCTTTCCTATCAGTGGCCAGAAGCTGGTCGATGGCGGCCTGGACACGAGTGCTGCGCGATCGGGGCGCAGGGTGCCGGGGCTCCAGCTCGGCCGTGGGGCCGCTCAGGGTGAGATCGATTGGTGGATGCTCATTTTCAGCGCGCCCGAGTGGCGGCTCGGACTTGAGCATGGGGCTGCCTGGATGTGTGTGTGTGTGTGTGTGTGTGTGTGTGTGTGTGTGTGTGTGTGTGTGTGTGTGTGTGCGTGCGTGCGTGTGTGCGTGCGTGTGTGCGTGGGTATGCGGCAAGGGGGGGAGGAAAGGGAGCACGAGAACGCGAAAGGGTGCACAAGTCTTCTGTGGCGCTTCGGCCCGGCCCGAAAGGAGGGCCAACTACAAGCCTAAAAACGCGCGTCGCCCCTCCTCCCTCCCCGCCCGATGGGAAAGCGGACCCGAGGAGCGAAGAGGGGATAGGCATCCCCCCTGCAGGCCCGGGGCATCAGATCGTTGATCGTGCGATCTTGGACTTTGCGTCCCGGCCCCCCCTCCCCCCTCCAGGCCGGCTTGTTGCGTGGGTTCGTTGGCGGGCGTGATGCGGATCGCCGAACAAGATGGATTGGGGCAGACCAAAAGAGTGAACGCGTCCATTCGTCGGCACTCGGGCCGGCGCCACCCATGTGACCCACACCCATAAGTATGTCTTTCGACATCACATGAGACGAATGTCCCATCCGTGGGATCGGTGTTGCTTTCCCCGCCTGAGTGGCACAGGGGAGCAGAAAAGAGGGAAAAAGGAATACACTGCAGCCAGAGCACATTGTGCTGCCGAATGTGTGCCACCTTGCCTGAGAGAACCCACACACACACACACACACACACAAAGGTGTAGTCTAACGGATATATTATTCTTGAAAAAAAAGGGAAAGAGAAGGGGGGACGAGGGGGAGAAGAGATGCAACAAAGGAGGGTTGTGCCATCCTCGCGGGTGGGTGTGCACACCGAGGCACCCGAAAAAGGGGGCGAGGTCATGCGTGCGTTGTTTCACCACTCCGCCCACCGGAGGGGGGGGGGGGAAACACCGGAAACAGGGGAAGCTAGCCGCATAAGAAAGGGGCACCGCCGCCCGTCCGCCCCCCTTCTTCTCCGCCCATCCTCAAAGCACAGGAGGAGAGGATGCACAGCGCGCGCATGGGGCCAGCCGACTGCCAGGGAGGGGGGCGGGGGGGAAACAGGGGAAGGGAGGGCCCCAGCCACGAGGAGGAGACGCACTTACCACTTGTAGAAGCTGTGCGGCGGGTTCTCCTTGTTCGGCTGGATATCCGAGTAGGTGGGCATGGCGTCGGCCTTGATGGAGGCCGAGATGGAGCGCTGGGCCAGGGCCTTGCCACCGCCGCTGAGCAGGGCATCCACATCGTCGATGCTGATGGCCATGTTGGCCATGTCGCGCTGAATGTCCTCCTCGGTGCGGGGAGTGGCGTCCTTCTGGCTGCTGGCCGCGAGAGTGATCTGGAGAAGGGCGGCATGGGCGTCCTGCTCGTCCGACGCGCCGTCGGCACTGGCCCGACCGCGGCCAGTCTTCTTGGTGTAATCGGCCACGGAGAAGCGGTACTTGGTCCGCTGCCCGGGCGGCGTGAAGGGGGTATCGGCATAGATATGCCCATCGACATGGGCAATGGTGCCGCTGACGGTCTTGGCCGCCTCCGGGTCCAGGTTCAGGGCATCATCCACAAAGTCCATGAACCCGACGAAATCCTTCGTCAGGAGACGCAGGACCGGGCTCACACGCTGGGGAGTGTCCGTCCGGAGGACCTCCATCTCGGCGAGGACCTTCCCACGCTCGATGATTGGCCCGGCGCCAGGGGGCAGGCGCGGCAGGGTGTACTTGTGGTGCACCGGGGCAGCCGGGGCGAAGGTGGGGGGCAGGACCGCCGCGGCGGCGGCCATGGCCCGGGGGTCGGGCGGGTTGCTCCGAAGGAAGTCCAGCGCGGCATTGGGCTCGGTCAGCTGGCTGCGGTCCAGGGCATCGGTGAGACCGGCGCGCGTGCGCCCGGGCCGGGCGTCCGCCGCGGCGGCGCGCAGCTTCTGCTGATGCACCGACAGCGGGGCCAGGCGGCCGACCGAGGCCGGGGTCACCGAGGAGGCGGCCCCAGTCACATCGGTGGTGCGCTTCATGCTGGCACGGGGCCCGGCGGCTCCGGGGGCAGCCTGGTGCGCGGGCATCCGGTGGGTCGAGTCATGGCGAGCGGGGGCGGGATCGCGAATGAAGTCCGCCCGGGTGTACTCGGTCTCGGCCAGGGCGGCGTCCAGCTGCTCCATGGCGTGCATGCGGTCGGACCGGCCGACGTAGTTGTTGAGGAAGGGATGCAGGCGATGCAGGGAGTGGTCCGGCCGGCGGCTGGCGGGGCTCGGCATGGAGGCCATCATCTCGGCCAGCTCGTCAGCATCCAGCCCGGAGCCCTCCGGGCGACGCTCCAGCGGCAGGTGATACACCTCGGCCGACAGCTTCTGCAGGGCATCGGCCGACAGGGGCTTGACGAAGGTCGGCTGGGCCTTCAACAGCTTGTAGGTCTCGGCCGGCAGGGGCTCATAGTCGAAGGTGCGCATGCGCATACCGATACCGGCCGGCAGGCGGACGTACAGATACCGGAGGAAGTGGTTCAGGACCTCGTCAGTGCAGTTGTGCACCTGGATGAGGCTATGGCGGGAGGGGGAGTCCCATTGTGAGAGGCAGGGCGCGGCGGAAAGTCAGAACCCGGAGAGGGAGAGAGGGAGAGAGAGAGAGAAGACCAGGAGTGCTACCCGCCCCGCCAGATCAGACTCTTGTCCCGCCGCCAGCAGGGCACACCATCATGTTTGCGTTGCCCCGCCCTGGTCGGTGGCAGCAGGAAAGGTGGCTGGGCCCCGATATCGGGCGGCAGGAGGGCAAAACGTACCGCTTGTGGGTGGTCATGCCGAACTGCGCGTGCGAGCGATTGTACTTGAAGGGGCTCCGGATGACGGAGAAGAGCTTGCGCTGGGTGGGCATGCGGATGAGCCCGGACACGGGGATCTTCATGATCATGGCCGTCTGGCGGATGAACACGGCAAAGGTGTCCACCAGCTCGTGGTGATAGCCGGAGAGGTTGATCTGGGCGCGGCGGATCTTGGAGAAGGTGGGCTTCTCGGCGGAGGAAACAATGCGCGGCGGGGGGTTGGCCTGGTCGCGCACGGCCGGCGGCTGGGTGGCCAGGTTGTTGAGCTCGGCCATCTGGCGGTTGGAGGTCTGCTGGCTCATGGGAGCTGGCGGGTTCTCAAAGAGACCGGCCGCCTGTTCGCTGTGCAGGCGCTGGAGGGCGAAATCCTCACGGCCGATGCTGAGCGCGCGCCGGACCTGGGCGCGGGTGCGCCCGGTGCCGGCCGCCTGGGCACCCTTGGCCGCAGCCTCGGCCGTCAGGCGGGCATGGTCCGGGTCGGTGTGCTTCAGAGGCCCGGCAAAGCGGCTGGTTTCGGTGCCGTCGACCACCTTGAAGACGGTGGCGCCGATGGAGCTGACCGTGGAGACGGTGTTATCGGCCATGGCCAGGGGCCGGCCACCGAACTGCAGCGAGGGGGTGTACTTCTTCTTGGTGGCGCTGAGGATGAGGGCGGGCAAGCGGGTGAGCGAGTGAGGGGCGTCTGCTCGGGAGCCCGGCCCGGTGAATTGGAGGGCAAAGGAAACATGGAGCGCGGCAACATGAGGAGGAATAGTGCGTGTGTGCGCGCGTACTAAAAGCGAACAGTGGCAGTGGCGGTAGCGCTGCCGGTGGTGGAGACGGCTGTCGCCTGGCGCACCGCCTGCAGGCACGCCCCCGAGGAGAGAGAGCCCCTGAGAGAAAGCATGTTGGGCTGTTCGAGCGGAACCCCGAGAATGACTGATTGCGAGGGAGGGGGAGGCGGTGGCGGCGAGAAGCAGCGGGGAAGAGGAGGAGGAGGAGGAGGAGGGAAGCAGGGAGAGGACGAGGGTGTCAGGAAATGGCCGGCAGGCGTGTGCCCGAATGTGGGGAGAGGCGCCCGGTGTCGGCGACAAGGCGTGTGTGTCTCGCTCTCTCGCGGAGGGCGGGGGGAGGGGGGGCTGGGAGCGGCGCGCGCTGGCGAAGGCGGTGCCGGCGTTGCCCGCAGCGCAAGAGGCGAGAGCAGCAGCGAAACACCCGGGCTCCGTGGACAGCCGGCGCAGGGTGCATATGCACATGGGCGCTACTGCGGATAACGATAGGCCAAAAAAGAAGAAGGAGGGAGGAAGGACGGGGAGGGAGAGAGAGAGAGAGAGAGAGAGAGAGAGAGAGAGAGAGAAAGAAAAGAGCGAGGGAGGGGGAGGGAGGCAGCGCGGATGAAAGGGGGCAGGGGCATACAACAAAGAGGGGAGCAAAGGAGTTTCACGGAAGTTCGGAGGCGGATGGCGAGCGTCGGCGAGGCCAGGCCGTGCCAGGTGAGCGCTTTTTCATCGGGTAGTGTCTCGCGTCAAGAGGAGTGGTGGGGGGGGGGACCACAGGACTATCCGTGGTATTCCCCGACCAAGCCACATCTGCCGGGTCGTGGGCTCGGCCGAATGAGAGCCAGAGACCCGTGGTCGTGGGATGCCTGGAAGGACAGCCGGGGGGCGGTGGTGAGAGGGGTGTTCTGATCCGAACTGGAGGCCAGCATCGGATTGTGGCGTGCGCCCGACCCCCTCCCCCCCCCCCCGACCAAGACCCTCCCCGCCCGGGGCGACCTTGTCAGTTCAGTCTGTCCAGAAAAGTGGAGTGGCCAAAGACGCCGCTTTCGCAAGTGTATCTTCCCCGTCTTTACCGCACAGCCCGCATTCGCTCCTCCCAGCCTTTTAGGGTTCATGCGCCCGGGGCCGGGAGGGGGACATCGGGTCCGCTGCGCTCCGGCTTGGTGAGGTCCCCACCCACGCACCAGCCTGAATCTCGAAAGTCAGATGCAACACGAGAAGAGCGAGATCTGATGTATCAAACCGTCGTGAAAGGGAATGCCATTACCAATACCTAAAGGAGAACGAGACCTTAAATATTCTGGCTCTGGCGCTCCCGCCGCCTGGTTGTCGCGGGCTGCCCACCAGGGTGAGGAGGGCTGGTTATAGAGGGGACCGCAAGCCCCGGAGGGCAGGGTGGGTGGACAATCTGTCGGACCCTCGTGCCAGGGCGGGGTGTTGAACTTCCGGTGCCGGCCGTGGGGCGGCCGTGGGGCGGCCCATGCTGGGTGTGCGAGTGTACTTGACATCGGAATCGGGGCCGGGGGTCGGGATCAGGGCGGTCCCTCTGGAGGCTGGTTATCTTCCCCCCCGGTCCACAATCTCACCGGTTCCCGTGGGGCGCCGGGGGGGGGGGGGGGGGGGGGACCATGTGCCTGGACATGCCAGTCTATGGTGGTTGGCCCAGTCGGTGGCGAGGATGGGCGCGGAAAGTTGCGGGCCGTGCGGGGCCCTGTGTGGAGACTATAAAAGGGGGGACGTGGCTGGCCGGATGGTTGACAATCCCCCTCATCGGGCCGTGTGTATGCGCGTCGAGTGCTTCAGCTGTTTCTCCCTTCCCAAGGGGAGAGGCCTGCTGTTGGGCTTGGGCGCATGCGCGCGTTCCCGGCCCTCGGTTGCATGGTACGCGCCTCCTCCTCTTCCTCCCTATCCTCCTTTCTCCTCCCCCTGCTCCCTTCCTCCTCCCCCTGCTCCCTTCCTCCTCCCCCTGCTCCCTTCCTCCTCCCCCTGCTCCCTTCCTCCTCCCCCTGCTCCCTTCCTCCTCCCCCTCCGATGTTCGCACACACTCGCGTGTATCCCTTCTCTCCTCCCCATGCAGGACCTACAGAGTCACTTGTTGGCCTCTTCAGTGGTTTATGAGTGCTAGTAGCTCCGAGATCAATGCATTCCTTGTCTTCGGTGTATCCTTCCAATGGGTATCACCTTAAGGATGGGTCTGCCACATTCTCCCCTCCTCTTCTTCTGCAACTCCCCCGTCTTCCCCTCCTCTTCCTTTACTTACTCCTTCTCCCCTCTCTTTCTTAGGCATTCCCCCATTCATGGGCTGTGTGACGCGCACCTTGGCATCTTTTTCTCTCTCTGGTGGCATTCTGACTTGCCTCCTTCTCCTGGTGGACCTCGGTCTGGGGCGCACTCGGCAGGTTTCTCCTTGGTGTGCGCGTGTGCGCATGCCCTGGGGGGGCTTTCCGTGCTTCCTTCTCCGGGGCTCATCAGAGGAGCGGGCTATTGCTCTCCGAGCCAGTGTGTCACCCTCTGCTCCTCTCTCTCCTGACCTTTACGGCAGTTGGAAACAAAAAAAGCAAAAAAAAAGATAAACCAAAACGCCTCCCTCTCCTTCCCCCAGCGCCGCGCGCCCACATGGCGTGCGGTGAGAGGGGCAGGGGAGTGTGTGTGGTCCGCCCAGGTGCGGGGGATGGAAGATAAAAAAAAAGAAACAACCACCCAAATAAAAATCCCCAAAATAGTATCCCTTCTTGTGCTGTTCCTTCTCTGTCCCTTGGTCACCTCATCCCTTTCCTTTTTCTGCCCCCCCGGCCGCCACGAGGTGTGAGGGTCCGGCGATTGCGAGAGGGGGGGGGACCGTGTGCGTGCGCGCCCCCTCCCCCCCCCTTAACAGGGCGAAAAAGAGCATGCAGGAGGAGGGGGCGCGTCTGGCCCTGTGGGTGTGGTGGGGGGAGCATGCCGACGAGCGTTGTTTTCTGGATTTGTGTACATTGAATGCGCCACACCAACGTGCGCGATGAGAGACGGCACAGGAGGGAGGGGGAGGGGCGCGCGGAAGGTCTGAGAGGAGGGTGTGTGTGTGTGTGCGCCCCTTCATCTTGAGGGGGAGGAACATTCAGCGGTGGCACACCTGGAGGAGGATTGCCGGCTGGTGGGCGCCGGTGGCCAGGACACCCGGCAAGGGGCAGCCATGCTGTCATCCTCCTCGCTGGAGGCGGCCGCTGTCGAGGCGTCGAGAGGGCACACCACGGCCGGGGAGCTGCCACCGGCGCCCAGTAGCCCGGTGCAGTGGGGATACATTGCTGCCAGGCTGAGGCCCACCGACAGCGAATAGAGCCGCGGATCGAGGTGGAAGTCGTACATTCGGGCATATCGCTCCAGGCGCGACTGTAGTCCATGCAGAGGGAAGGTGATGGAAAAGATGAGTTCGTTGGGTTCGAGATTTGGCCGGAGAACCTGATTCCGAGGATCATCTACCGGCGGAGGGGGAGGGGGGGGGGGAGGGGCAAGGAGAGGCTGGATGTTAGAGACACGAGGACCGGGCCCTCAAGCGCCAGGGCAGGCACATGCAGCGCCGGGCCATACACAGGCACGCGTGATGGCGGGTGTGCCGGACGCGCCGCAGGGAGGCCATCGGGACACAGGCACGCACCTGAGTAGGCATCCAAGATGACCATGCGTCCGGTTTCATCGGCCACACCACTCGAGTACTGGAAGGTGGCTGGCAGAAGTCGAGCCGAGGTCGGATCGCCATGCCAGCCGGTTTCCTCGGCAAGCTCGCGCAGGGCTGTCGTCTGCAGCGTCTCACCGGGATCCACCAGGCCGGAGGGCAGTTCCAGACACCACCGAGCAGTCGGGGGCCGGTAAATCAGCTCCACCACGATCCCCGGGCACTTGGCCGTGGTATCGGCGGTGGAGTCCTTCACCAGCGCTGCGGGCAGGGCGGATGGGGCCCGAGGGGAGGGGGTTCGTCCGGAGAAGGATGTTCCAGGGCCGAGAGTGAAGGGCAGGCAGATCGGTTAGCCAGCCGTGGGGGAGGGGGGGAAAAAAAAAGGGGGCGACCGGCGGGCCAGGGGAGGCGGGCTGGCCGAGAGGCGGGTATACACGAACCGAGGATGTCCACCGCATCGACGGACGGGCTGGCGGCCGAGGGCGCCGGGCAGGCGGGAGCGTCGTTGTCGAAGCCCACATCATCGGGCCGGATGCGAGTCGTCCGGGCGATCATTTCCCAGGTGTTGGGCTCGCCGTGGACGCGCCAGTGCACCAGGCCGGACTTGAGCCATGTCCCGGTGTGCAGCCATTCGATGCTGACATGCTCGGCGATGTCCTTGCACGAGGAGGCCATGGACTCCATGCTGGAAGGGAGCGAGAGCATGGTCGGAGGGAGGGGCGGGAGATGGGGAGGAGGTGAGGGGTGGCCGGGGCATTTGCAGGGGCCCAGGCGTGAGGAGCGCCGGACGTACATCACATCCAGGGGATCGGTCTCGGGTCGAGGGACGGCCGGTCGGCCGGGCTCGCCCCGTGGACAGCCACAGTCATCCTCGGAGGAGTTGCTCGGAGTGGCGGACGAGGATGGGCGAGGTCGGCTGTCGATCTGACAAGCCAGCGCGCTCACTGGTGGAAGGTGTGTGCGAAAGAGAGAGAGACAGAGAGAGGGGGGGGTGAGCACGAGGGGGAGGAGGAGAAGGAGCAGGAGAAAGATCAATGCCGAGGGGCAGGCGCGGTTCGAGCGTACTGAGGGAGTGTTTGGGAGGGAGGGGCGGGAGAAGCGAGCGGGCGGGGGGGGGGGAGGGCAGGAGGGAGGGGCGCGTGTGTTTTGGAGGGGGATGCCGGAAAGGTCGGAGGCTGATGCCTTCCAGCTCGGTGGGATTTAAACCGTGGCGGCTGAATGGGTTGGACCCCGGGCAGGACGAAGTACCACCCGGGGGGGAGGGGGGGGGGCGGACCGGGCGGCGAAGAGCCGGGGCGGCCGCCGGAGCGGCACTCTTGCTCACGGAGCTGAGGGCCCGCGAACCTGCGTGTAAAAAGGTATTCCCGCCCTCCCCGGGGGGGGGGGGGGGGGCCTGGGGGGGATCTGCCCTCCCGTCGAAAGGGCGCATGTGGTTCCCGCCCAGCCTTCCCAAGAGCCCGGGGCGCGATCCGACCATGAAGGACCCGCAGATCGCTGAGAACGTGTTACCACCGGATCGGATGCGTCATTTCTTTTCGCCGCTCCCTCTGCCGCGCGCCGTCGGCCCCCCCCTTCAGGCAGAGCATGGAGGCCTGGGCCCAGCCCCGGGAAAACCGACCGGCAGGCGAGAGGGCAGACCCCTGATAGAAGTCGTGTGGCCGCAATTCCATGTGGATGTGCCGGCCCTGAGCCTGCTTCCCTTTCGCTCGCTCTGCCCCTGTCTCGCCCTGTGCCGCTCACAGACACACACACACACACACACACACGCACACACCCACCCATGCACCCTTTCTCAGCCCCCCTCCCTCGGGCCTGCTTTTCGCATGTTGCGCCCCGGCGGAGCCGGCCGCGGCAAGGAAGTGACGCAAGACGCGATAATATCCGCGCGATCGGCGCACTCGCCTTGATCGCCCTGCTCCGCGGTCAAGGCCGGCCAAGGAGCCAGCCGGCCCACCCGAGTGCCCGGGCATCCCTTCGCATGGGCCCTGGGAAATGGGGCGAGTTTTCCGGCAAACATGTCGACCTGTATGTCACCGAGCAGCAGGTGTCCCTGGCCGTGTCAGCCTGCCCGCTCGGTACCCTCTCCTCCTGCCGAGGCCCCGGCCTCCGGTGCCCCCTTCTACCCCCGCGTCCCGGGCGGCCAGCAAGTTGCGCAAGCATACGCATTGGCCGGCGAAGCATGCGCAGGCCAAGCGCACGGGGAGTGAGGGGCCCCGGTGGCGGGGAGGAGGCGGGAGATAGGTCCGTGGGGGGGCACAGCACCGGGTGGCGCCCCTCTGCAGCCATGCATGACACCCGGATGGCCCCCCCCCCCCCCCCCCCGCCCCCCCCCCCCCCCCCGCCGCCGCAGCCATAGTCTCAGCCAGCCAGCAAGAGTCCCCCGCGCCTCGGCTTGCGTCCTTCTCCTGCCGCGGGACCCGCCGCGCTTGTTTGGTTCCTGGTTGCCGGCAGCCGCGGCGGATCGGACCGCGCTCAAGCCCGCCCTTGTGCCTCTGTTTGTCGGGGGGCCCAAGGGAGGGTGACACGCCCCTCCGCCCGCCCCGGGCATGCGAGCCTCATCCGCTCCCCGCGGGACAGGCCAGCGGTTCATATTCCACGCCCCCCCCCCCCCCCCACCAACGGGGGGGGGGAAGCCCAGGCAAGCGCACCGGGCCTTAGGGGCATGTCCCTCCCCGCCCGGGCCCCTCCACCGCCCTGCTGGCGGCGGTGCTTCCCGGTTCTCGGGCTGTGGCGTTCGAAATGGTGCCCCCTCTCTCCCGGTCCTTCTTTGCCCCCTCTGCCGAGCTACCCCGTCCGGGCGGATCCCCGGCAAGGGCCTCGACTCGGGAGAAATGCAATACACGTCACCTGTGCGCGCGTCCGAGGCCTGTTCCTCTCCCTCCTTCCATCTTCCCCCTCTCTGCGATATGCGGTCCCTCTCCCTGCGATGTGCGCTAAGCGCCCATGCGCTCAGGGCCTCGGTGGGGGTCCCCCCGGGGCGGGGCGGGGCGGGCGGGGGGAGGGGGGCTACAGGCGAGGCCACTGGGGTGATGTTGCCTCGGAGGCCTGCCCCGAGTGGCCCCCCCCCCCCCCCCCCCCCGCCGTCCGGTCCCCGCCTGCGGGGCGGGCTGTCTGGCCGGGGAGCATAGTTCAGCTACGAAGACGCATGCGTTGGCATGTCCACTCTCCCCGAGCACCATCCGCCTCAGCGCGCGCCCGTCCAAGTGGGCCCCGGCCCTCGAGCCAGGCAGGGGGGGGGGGGGAGGGGTGGCACGAGGCAAAGGGCGGAGGCTGCGTGTCCCCACGCCCGCTGCGCTCGCCTGGTGCCTGGGCAGGTAGCAGGTTCTGATGGTGCTCGTAGTGGAGATCCAAGTCATGACGTCCTGGATGCTCCATTTTGGATGCCGATCGGCCGACGGCCCTCCCCCGCGCCCCCTCGGGCACACGAGGAGCCAATGCCGGGTCCGGTGCGCCTGGAGCTCCAGGCGAATGCGCGTTCGCGCGTTCGCGCGCGCGCGCGCGCGCGCGCCAGCCCGAAGAGATCGACAGTTGTTGATCGGTGCTATGGCAGAGCCATGGTGCTGGACCGGGCTCAAGCAGGGCGGGGAAATGGGCCTGGGCGGTTTCACGCGGGCCCTCCGGTACTGGGGACCGACCTGCTGGCAGGGTGTCGCCGCCGCGCATGGGCCCCCCCCCCCCCCCCCCCCGGCCGGCGTCCCCCCCGTCAACAACAGGCAGCCCATGCACACAGACACACACACACCACACATGCGCGCGCAGCATACCCCCGGTGTGAAAGCCGGCGCGCGGAGCAGCTGCCGGCGCAGCGCCCCAATCGGCGGCGGACATGTGCCCACGAATTCGGGCTTTGCCGCCCCCCAACATGCGCCCCCCCCGGAAGCGCACTCCGCCCCCCCCCCGCTGGGGCCCCCCCCCCCCCCCCCGGCCGGCCGCCGCTTGCACCCGTGCGGCGTCCCTCTGGGGCCTAGCTTGTGCCTCGGACTGGTGGCGGGGGCCCGGCCCGACGACCCTGGACGCTTCCGCCCGGAGTCGAGATAGCAGGCCGGGGGGAGAGGGAAAAACGAGGTGGACGGAAGCACATTCGGGCGAGAGGGCATCCCGCCGGCGTCCAGGAGGCAGCAGGCCTGCCGAGCGGTCGGGTCCACGCGTGTACTTTCTGACTCGTCGTCCCGCCTGGCGGGGAGGGCCCCAGGAGGGGGTCACACGTGTGAATCCCCTGGTTTGGGGGTCCGAGGGGGGGCGGGGAGCGGGGGAACACAGCCGCGGGCGCGCGGCTCCCCTTCGCGTTGCCGGCCCCCCGCGCTTGCTTAGTGGCTTGTCACACGGACACGCGCGTGCGGAGGGGCACTCGCTCGCGAAGGCCCGCGCGCTCGGGTCCGTGAAGCACCCAGCTATCCATCGTCGATGCTCCACGATCGCCCGCGCCCCGCGCGTTGCCGCAACCAGCGGTCTCCCCTCCCCTGCTGCAACCGTGGTTCGCTCCCACATCCCCACACACGCCCCCAAGGGCCGGCACAGTGGCCCGGTAGCCGGAACGCACATGCGTGGGGCCCCGCCACCCGGGCCTTCTTTCTCCTGTATTGAACACAGCCACCGACTCTCGGGCAGCATGTGCCAAGTCCGGGGAATACCCAGCAGAGGCGGGCTTAACTCTTTGGCCGTGTGCTGGGCGCCTCCCGGCGGGTGTCCTTCGTGGGATTTGGCCCTCGGCTTCTCGCCCACCGCGACCGGTTGCCCTTCCCCCTCCCCCTGGACGGATCGAAAGCCGGCCACCCTGCCGGTGCTCTCGCTTGGGCCCTCCTCACGGCCTCCCTCCCTCTTGTCCTCCCTTCCCCCTCCCCGCCCCTCCCCCCCCCCCCTCTCTCTCTCTCTCTTCCCCCTCTCCGTGTCTTTGTCTTTCTCTTCCCCTCGTTTGCCATGTACTCGCACCTTGGCCGCGTTCTGGCCTCCGCCGGTCGGGCGGGGCTGGCCCATTCCCCTCGGGCGCAGGCCGCTGGCATCCCGCGCGCGGCTCGGGCCTTCTCCTCGAGCGCCGGCCCCGGCGGCCCCTCGGGCAACTTCCGCCGCGCGGCCATCGCCCTTGCTGGGCTCGGTGCCGCGGGTGGTCTGGCCTACCTGGCCACCTCGTCGGAGGGCAGCTTCACCCGTCCGTCCTTCCTGACGGCTGCTCACTGTGATGCGGCTCCTGCTCCGACTTCCGTCCCCACTTCGGAGGCCGACGCCCCGGAGGAGTTCCGTCGCATCCGATCCACCCCGGAGGAGCGCCAGGCCCGACGCGAGAAGCGTTCGCAGGAGCGCCTTGAGCGCATGGAGGAACGTCGCCGCATTGGCCCCGCCCGGCTCAAGACGTTGCCCACTCGCGCCGAGCACATGGAGCGCCTGCGGTACGCCTCCCCCCCCCCCCCACTGCTTCTCATCCCACCCTTTTACATGCACACACACACGCACACACACACACACACACACGCGTCCTGGCCTCAGTATTTTGCCCTCCTCTTTCCTGTGCCCACCTCCCACACCAGTACCCACTCACTCTCTCCCTCACACACACACACACACACTGGGCCCTGGCTCATCGTTTTGCTCCCCCTCCTCCCCAACTCCCCACTCCGGCTCCACGCCCACTCACAGGGCCGACGAGGAGTATGACTTGATCGTCATCGGCGCCGGCATCACCGGCAGCGGGATCGCCCTGGACGCGGCGTCGCGCGGCTTGAAGGTGGCCCTCATCGAGCGGGACGACTTCGCAGCCGGCACCTCCTCCCGGTCGACGAAGCTCATCCACGGCGGGGTCCGGTACCTGGAGCGGGCGGTCTTCGACCTGGACTCCAAGCAGTACAACCTGGTTCGCGAGGCGCTGGCCGAGCGGAAGACCCTGCTGGAGATCGCCCCGCACATTGTCCACCCCCAGGCCATCCTCCTGCCGGTGTACAGCTTCTTCGATGCCGTCTACTACTATGCCGGGGCCGTGTGCTACAACCTCCTGGCCCGGCTGACCTCCGGCGATCGGATGCCCTTCACGCGCATCCTCTCGCCGACGCGCACCCTGGAGGCCTTCCCCAGCCTCTCGGCCGAGGGCCTGCGCGCCGGCATCGTGTACCATGATGGCGTCAATGATGACGCCCGGCTGACCACCAGCACGGTTCTCACGGCCGCCAGCTACGGCGCCACGGTGGTCAACCACACCGAGGTGGTGGGTCTGGTCCAGGTGCCGGAGGGCGCCGCTGCCGGGACCACTGACCCGGCGGCCGCCGACTCGACCCGGCACTCGGATGCCGGGTCCCTGGTTATCCAGGGGTCCGGCGATGCGGCGGCCAGTGCGGCCGCCGACACCGCCGCCCCGCGCATGCGCACCACCGGTGTCGAGGTGCGCGATCGCCTCACCGGGCAGACCTTCACCGTCCAGGCCAAGGGGGTCATCAATGCCACTGGGCCCTTTTCCGATACCATTCGTCGGCTGGATGATCCGGCCTCTCGCCCGATCTTGGTCCCCAGCCAGGGGATCCATGTGGTCCTGCCGGCGCACTTGTTCGAGCACTCGACCTTCGGTCTGCTGGACCCGGCCACCAGCGACAACCGCGTGGTCTTCGTCCTCCCGTGGGCCGGGTCGGTTCTGTGCGGGACCACCGACACCCCGCTGCCGCGTGCGGCGGCCGAAAACTCCGGCAATGTGGTGGAGCCCGTCGGCCCGGCTGACCTGGCGGCCGCCGGCTCCGAGGCCGGCCCCCTCCCGAGCGGCGGCCTGATCGCCCGCGAGGCCGACGTCGAGTGGGTGCTGAACGCCGTGCGGCCCTACCTGCGCAAGGACCTCCAGGTCAGCCGCAGTGACGTTCGGTCCATCTGGGCCGGCGTGCGGCCGCTCGTGCGCGACCCCAACAACCCGGCCTTCTACAGTCAGACGGCCGACGAGCAGTCTGGCACCAACACCTCGACCATTGCCCGGACCCATGTGGTCCATGTCAGCCCCAGCAGCCTGATCACCGTGTCCGGCGGCAAGCTGACCACCTTCCGCATCATGGCCAAGGATGCTCTTGACAGCGCCATCCGCGTGTTCGGGGTGCGTCTTTATCCCCTCCTCCGCTCTTGCCATGCACCACTCCCTTGGCGGCATGGGCATGTGTGCTTCTCCCTAACTGACCTGCCGTATTCTCTCCCTCTCCTTTCCCCCCC